GGGGATGTAAGCCTGTGGAGGGATTGGCAGAGAGGGGGGCGGGGGATGTAAGCCTGTGGAGGGATTGGCAGAGAGGGGGGCGGGGGATGTAAGCCTGTGGAGGGATTGGCAGAGAGGGGGGCGGGGGATGTAAGCCTGTGGAGGGATTGGCAGAGAGGGGGGCGGGGGATGTAAGCCTGTGGAGGGATTGGCAGAGAGGGGGGCGGGGGATGTAAGCCTGTGGAGGGATTGGCAGAGAGGGGGGCGGGGGATGTAAGCCTGTGGAGGGATTGGCAGAGAGGGGGGCGGGGGATGTAAGCCTGTGGAGGGATTGGCAGAGAGGGGGGCGGGGGATGTAAGCCTGTGGAGGGATTGGCAGAGAGGGGGGCGGGGGATGTAAGCCTGTGGAGGGATTGGCAGAGAGGGGGGCGGGGGATGTAAGCCTGTGGAGGGATTGGCAGAGAGGGGGGCGGGGGATGTAAGCCTGTGGAGGGATTGGCAGAGAGGGGGGCGGGGGATGTAAGCCTGTGGAGGGATTGGCAGAGAGGGGGGCGGGGGATGTAAGCCTGTGGAGGGATTGGCAGAGAGGGGGGCGGGGGATGTAAGCCTGTGGAGGGATTGGCAGAGAGGGGGGCGGGGGATGTAAGCCTGTGGAGGGATTGGCAGAGAGGGGGGCGGGGGATGTAAGCCTGTGGAGGGATTGGCAGAGAGGGGGGCGGGGGATGTAAGCCTGTGGAGGGATTGGCAGAGAGGGGGGCGGGGGATGTAAGCCTGTGGAGGGATTGGCAGAGAGGGGGGCGGGGGATGTAAGCCTGTGGAGGGATTGGCAGAGAGGGGGGCGGGGGATGTAAGCCTGTGGAGGGATTGGCAGAGAGGGGGGCGGGGGATGTAAGCCTGTGGAGGGATTGGCAGAGAGGGGGGCGGGGGATGTAAGCCTGTGGAGGGATTGGCAGAGAGGGGGGCGGGGGATGTAAGCCTGTGGAGGGATTGGCAGAGAGGGGGGCGGGGGATGTAAGCCTGTGGAGGGATTGGCAGAGAGGGGGGCGGGGGATGTAAGCCTGTGGAGGGATTGGCAGAGAGGGGGGCGGGGGATGTAAGCCTGTGGAGGGATTGGCAGAGAGGGGGGCGGGGGATGTAAGCCTGTGGAGGGATTGGCAGAGAGGGGGGCGGGGGATGTAAGCCTGTGGAGGGATTGGCAGAGAGGGGGGCGGGGGATGTAAGCCTGTGGAGGGATTGGCAGAGAGGGGGGCGGGGGATGTAAGCCTGTGGAGGGATTGGCAGAGAGGGGGGCGGGGGATGTAAGCCTGTGGAGGGATTGGCAGAGAGGGGGGCGGGGGATGTAAGCCTGTGGAGGGATTGGCAGAGAGGGGGGCGGGGGATGTAAGCCTGTGGAGGGATTGGCAGAGAGGGGGGCGGGGGATGTAAGCCTGTGGAGGGATTGGCAGAGAGGGGGGCGGGGGATGTAAGCCTGTGGAGGGATTGGCAGAGAGGGGGGCGGGGGATGTAAGCCTGTGGAGGGATTGGCAGAGAGGGGGGCGGGGGATGTAAGCCTGTGGAGGGATTGGCAGAGAGGGGGGCGGGGGATGTAAGCCTGTGGAGGGATTGGCAGAGAGGGGGGCGGGGGATGTAAGCCTGTGGAGGGATTGGCAGAGAGGGGGGCGGGGGATGTAAGCCTGTGGAGGGATTGGCAGAGAGGGGGGCGGGGGATGTAAGCCTGTGGAGGGATTGGCAGAGAGGGGGGCGGGGGATGTAAGCCTGTGGAGGGATTGGCAGAGAGGGGGGCGGGGGATGTAAGCCTGTGGAGGGATTGGCAGAGAGGGGGGCGGGGGATGTAAGCCTGTGGAGGGATTGGCAGAGAGGGGGGCGGGGGATGTAAGCCTGTGGAGGGATTGGCAGAGAGGGGGGCGGGGGATGTAAGCCTGTGGAGGGATTGGCAGAGAGGGGGGCGGGGGATGTAAGCCTGTGGAGGGATTGGCAGAGAGGGGGGCGGGGGATGTAAGCCTGTGGAGGGATTGGCAGAGAGGGGGGCGGGGGATGTAAGCCTGTGGAGGGATTGGCAGAGAGGGGGGCGGGGGATGTAAGCCTGTGGAGGGATTGGCAGAGAGGGGGGCGGGGGATGTAAGCCTGTGGAGGGATTGGCAGAGAGGGGGGCGGGGGATGTAAGCCTGTGGAGGGATTGGCAGAGAGGGGGGCGGGGGATGTAAGCCTGTGGAGGGATTGGCAGAGAGGGGGGCGGGGGATGTAAGCCTGTGGAGGGATTGGCAGAGAGGGGGGCGGGGGATGTAAGCCTGTGGAGGGATTGGCAGAGAGGGGGGCGGGGGATGTAAGCCTGTGGAGGGATTGGCAGAGAGGGGGGCGGGGGATGTAAGCCTGTGGAGGGATTGGCAGAGAGGGGGGCGGGGGATGTAAGCCTGTGGAGGGATTGGCAGAGAGGGGTGGGGGATGGAAGCCAGTGTAGGGATTGGTAGAGAGTGGTGGGGGATGGAAGCCAGTGGAGGGATTGGCATTAGAGTGTAAGCTCCCCTGTACAGAGCTTGGTGTTCTTTGTACTGCACTGCGCTATGTGTCAGAGCTATCTAATGATATATGAATCATAGTGTGTGATCTCCTCTGGGGCTCCTGGCAGTGAGTACAATGGGTGACATCACAACTGTGTGGAAAGCAGAAGCTGGAATTCTGCGTCAGATAAACTGATAAAGATGTAAAATTGCTGACGCGTTTTCCATGTCAGGTGACCGGGAACAGGACGTTCTGCTCTCTGTATACAATGCGAATGGTGACCAGTGCGGTGCACGAGGCTCAGAGTCAGGTGGCTTGTATAAAGGGGTGGAGTCACCTCGTAGAAATACATGAACAGTCCCGATAGTCAGATTGTGGTTCGCTGGTAACATCATATAAAGAAAACAACGCGTCATACATTGGGGACAACAAGAGGTCTAATCTCCACGTATGGAAATCCTTCTTCATAGCAGGAGCTGGGACAAGGAGGAATACTCCTCTCTGGAGTCTGGCCAACCTTCTAGGAGGTCCAAGCCAACCTTCTAGGAGGTCCAAGCCAACCTGATTGCTGGATGTGTCTCTAAGTGGACAAAATACCATATCTACTACACTGTATGGCCAAGGGTCTGTGGACTCCTGACCACCACATCTATATGAGCTTGTTGGACATCCCATTCCAAACCCATGGCCTCTAATATGGAGTTGACCCCTTTGTGGCTATAACACCCTGCTCACTTCTGAGAAGGCTTTCCACAAGGTTTTGGAGGGTGTCTATGGGATTGTGTGAGGTCAGGTACTGATGTTGGATGAGAAGACCCGGCCTCACAATCAGCGTTCCAATTCATCCCAGACGTGATCAGTAGGGATGAGGTCAGGGCTCTGTGCAGGACACTCGAGTTCCTCCACCAAGCTGGTCACACCGTGTCTGTATGGAGCTGGCTTTGTACACAGGGGACAGTCATAGGGGAACAGAAAACGGCACATACAAAGTGCATCTGTTGGTATTGGTGCCCATTGAGCCCAAAGAGCACTTGTGGGGTTGGGTACAACTCTTGGATGAGAAGACCTGCCTGCCTGTATGAGGTGATGAGTGCGTTTGCCATTTGTTTTGCTTGTCTGATTTGGTGCAGTGACACACTGGGGGGGGGGTCTCATCTGCCGTGATGTGCGTGGTCCCTGTGCCTTTAGGGAGGTTGGGCTTCCTCCTGGAGAACCTGCACCCAATTTTATCTGTTGCTACATGTGCTCCAAGATGGAGACTCTCATAGGTCAGAGTTAGGACCGCACTATACAGAGGGGCCTTGAGGAGGCGGTGCGGCTTTCACATGTCCCGCAGGAGACGTGCATCCAAACCTCTGATTTTACCCTTAGCGGTCAGACAGGTTTTTTTTGCATGCTGGCTGGCGAGTGTGCTGGGAAACTTTTTGCTGTAGGGCTCTGTGCAGGACACTCCAGTTCCTCCACACCAACCTGGTCATACCATGTTTTTTTGGGGGAGTTGGCTTTGTACACAGCGGACAGTCATGGGGCAACAGAAAAGGGCCTTCCACAAAGTGCATCTCTTGGTATTGGTGCCCATTGAGCCCAAAGTGCACTTGTGGGGTTGCGTACAACTCTTGGATGAGAAGACCTGCCTGGTGATCAGTTGGGTTGAGGTCGGAGCTCTGTGCAGGACACTCGAGTTCCTCCACCAAGCTGGTCACACCGTGTCTGTATGGAGCTGGCTCTGTACACAGGTGACCGTCATGGTGGGACAGATAAGGGCCTTCACCAAGCTGGTCACACCATGTCTGTATGGAGCTGGCTTTGTACACAGGGGACCGTCATGGTGGAACAAGAAAGGGTCTTCACCAAGCTGGTCACACCATGTCTGTATGGAGTTGGCTTTGCAGGGGACCGTCATGGTGGGACAGATAAGGGCCTTCACCAATCTATAACCACAAGGCTGGAAGAGCCCAATTGTCGACAATGTCTTTGTACGATGGAGTATTATGAGGACCCTTCTCTGGAGACACCTGACCTCCATCACTTGGAGGGGGGTCCACATACGTTTGGCCACATTATGATTAGACACCAGCTACATTTTATTAGGATTACATTGTTGTGTGATCTGGGGATTCGTCTGATTGGGGCATCAGAAAAGAAAACGAGGGCGATGCTTTATAGGAGTTTATTTTCTCTACATCAGCTGCAAGTTTAGGATTTTTTTGTTCAGATTGAAATTAAAGGACATTTTATTTTATTGTGACCCATGTGACAACGTCATACTCAAGCTGTGAACTCAACAGGCTTCTCCATGGTAACGTCATATTGAATCTTATTAAATCTGCGGCTTTCCTTAAAATAGTCCTTAATGGTCCTGGAATGGAGGTCCTTGTTCAGGCACTTCCTGTTATTGGGTGACAACCTTCTGTACAGACATAAACAGCCAACAAAGATGGCTCCGCAATATTGGGGGATCCTTGGTCAGATGGCTCCTCCAGTTACCTCACTGATATACACTGACTGTAGACCGGGACGAGCTAGACCTTCAGCACAGCAATCTTGTTGTCTATGGTCCGGAGTTTCCGGCTATTGAAGACTTTTGCAATCTTCTGTCGGATCTGTTTGGTCTTCATGCTGTAGATGACCGGGTTGATCACGGGAGGAAATAGAAGGTACACGTCGGCCATCAGGATGGGCAGGAGGTGAGAGGTGTTCTTGCCGAACCTATGGACCAAGGAGAGTCCGATGAGCGGGATATAGAATAAGAGCACGGCACAAATATGGCAAACGCAAGTGCTGAAGGCCTTGAGACGAGCCGAGTTGGCTCTGATGTCCAGAACGGCTTTAAGGATCAGTATATAGGAGATGACAATGAACATGGAGTCCACCCCCTTGGTCATGAGCACGGCCACTAGCCCGTAGATGCTGTTGACTGTGGTATCTGCTCCTGCCACCCTGATGACATCTTGGTGGAGACAGTACGAATGGGACAAGAGGTGACTCTTGTTGAATGGAAACCGTCTGGTGAGGAATGGAATCGGGAAGACCACACAGAGACCCCGCAAAACAATCCCAAGTCCAATCTTCCCTATGACTGGATTGGTTAAGATGGAGGAATACCTCAGAGGGTCCCATATGGCGATGAGCCTGTCTACCGCCATCACCACCAGGACTCCAGACTCCATGGCGGCAAACGTATGGAGGAAGTACATCTGAGTCAGGCAGGAGTCCAGGTGGATCTGGTCATAGTTAAAGCAGAAGATGCCGAGGACGGTAGGCAGGGTGGTGAGGGACACCCCGATGTCTGTCATTGCCAACATGGCCAATAAGATGTACATGGGCTGGTGGAAGCTCTCCTCTGTCCTGATAATGACCAGGATGGTGAAATTACCCAACAAAGACACAACATAGAGGAGACACAGAGGGAAGGCCAGAAAATCCTGATGATCTTCCAGTTCCGGAATCCCACTCAGGATGAAGATGACTGAGACATTCCCGGGAGCCGCCATTCCCTCTACAGAGGTCTGCAATACACAAAGCAATTGTATGGTAACGGTTCCATTCTGAAGACTATAAATAGAAAGCCATGTGCGGGGCAATAGACGGATATCTAAAGCTGGACTCCGGGATCAGCATCTCCTTGTGCAGGGTGACTGGTCTTGTCTCCGCCCCCTCCTGTAATAAAGACTGGTCACTGCTGCTCTTTCCTTGTGCAGGGTGACTGGTCTTGTCTCCACCCCCCTCCTGTAATAAAGACCGCTCACTGCTGCCCTCTCTCCCTGTGCAGGTTGACTGGTCTTGTCTCCGCCCCCTCCTGTAATAAAGACCGGTCACTGCTGCTCTTTCCTTGTGCAGGGTGACTGGTCTTGTCTCCGCCCTTTCCTGTAATAAAGACCGCTCACTGCTGCTCTCTCAGCTTATACAGGGTGACTGGTCTTGTCTCCGCCCCCTCCTGTAATAAAGACTGCTCACTGCTGCTCTTTCCTTGTGCAGGGTGACTGGTCTTGTCTCCGCCCCCTCCTGTGATAAAGACCGCCCACTGCTGCTCTCCCTGACTGGTCTGGTCTCTGCCCCCTCCTGTAGTTTCTTGTAGTGGGTGGGTCTCTGCCGATCCCTCCACTGGCTTCCAATCGCCCAAAGGATAAAATTCTAAATATTAACAGTCACTTACAAAGCCGTCCACAACTCCGCCCCCGTCTATATCTCAAACCTTGTCACAAAGTATCACCCTAACCGTCCCCTCCGCGCCTCCCAAGACCTCCGGCTTTCCTGCTGCCTCATCAGCTCCTCCCATACTCGCCTCCAGGACTTCTGTAGAGTCGTTCGCATCCTCTGGAACTCTTTACCCCAACCTGTCCGTCTGTCTCCCACTCTGACTGCCTTTAGGCGATCCCTTAAGACTCATCTCTTCAGGGAAGCCGATCCCACCGCAACCTAACCACTGTACCATTCGTCCCCACACAGCTCCCTCCTCATGTATCACTGGCCCCTCCCTTTAGATTGTAAGCCCTCAGGGGCGGGGCCCTCCTCACCATCTTGTCCTGAATTGTATTGTGATTGTAATGTCTTCCTTATATTGTACAGCGCTGCGCACACTGTTGGCGCCATATAAATCCCGTATAATAATAATTCTCGCCCCACTCTATCCGTGACCATTTTCCCTTCATACAAATTCAAGGCCTCATTTTGCGGGATAGAGGCTCCAAATGCCGGAATCTCGGTGAATTTAGGGGGATTTTCCTGGAGGAGAAGATCCTCCCGATCACCCCGACCATCTCAAGTGAGACCCGATGAAGTCTGGAGAAGGCCGGCACTTCCTTCTGCTCTACCGTAGCCTATTGCTCTGTTCAGAAGCCCCCTGGCCTCCCGAACCTTTCAGGGATCATGTCTGAACACCTCCAGTTCCATGGACATTGAAGTGGATCTTTCTTCTCCCTATTTCCCGTGCATGCGTTTACCACAATGTAGGGATGTGTGTGACGGGGCGTCTCATCCTTATCACACAATGCTGTAAAACATTTGTCACGTCATCGGG